ACCCTCTAGGGCAAAGTCTGAATGCCTTCTGTATTTCACAGAAGCACATAGTCACATTTCTTCGGTGGAGCTGACCTGTTGGTTAGTAGATGAGTGCTTTAACCACTGCACCACAAGGGCTCCTTTTAGTCTATAGTTGTTGTTGTTGTTAAGTGCCATCGAGTCGGTTCCGACCCATAGCGACCCTGTACAGGGTTTCCAAGGGTGTAAATCCTTACGGGAGTAGAAAGCCTCATCTTTCTCCCTTTAGTCTATAGAGACGACCTTTATTTCTCTGACAGCTCCACAGATTATTCCACCAGTCCTTTACTGCTTACATTGTATCTGATGTTTTGCTATTGAAAATACAGTGCTGTAATTAATATAATAGCCTTCGACATATAGCTAACATATTTTTGCCAGTGTGTCTTTGGGAATGGGTTCCTAGAAGTGGAAATACAGGTCAAATGTAATTGCATAGTTAATTTTGCTAGATACCCTCAAATTCCCCTCTATGTAGGTTGTTTCATTTTGTAGCCCTACCAACAGTGGTTAAGGAGCTCTGGTAGTGTAGTGGTTACAAATCAGGCTGCGAACCACAAGGTCTCCAGGAACCAGGAATCTCCTCTGTTAAGCAATGCCCTAGCTATTGTCCTAAAACCAACCCAAACCCATTGCTGTGGAGTCAATTCTGACTCATAGCGACCCTACAGGGCATTGCAGAACTGCCCCATAGGGTTTCCAAGGTTGAACTCCTTGTAAAATCAGATAGCTACATCGTTATTTTTCCTTGGAGCCACTAGTGGGTTCAAACTGCTAACTTATTGGTTCACAGTTGAGTGTTTTAATCAATGTACCACTAGGGCTCCTCAGCTATTACACTAGCCGGTATAATAAGACAAGAAAAAGAAATGAAGGGCACAAGAATTAAGAAGGAAGAAATAAAATTCATGAATGACATCATTGCATATATGGGAAATCTAAAAGTGAATTCTGAGAATTAATAAGTGAGTTTAGTATGATACTAGGTCAATATGCAAAAATCAACTACATAGCTGTCAATTAATAATGGTTACAATATAACAACAAAAATATACCATTTATAATTGCACAAAAAATATCAGCTAGCTAGAAATGTCTCTGTGCTAAAAGTCAACATATATATGTAATTATCAAACATTATGAGGAAACTCAGGATAAATCTATACTAGCAAAATGATAAATTAATGGAACAGAGAAGAGCCTAGAAACAGATAAAAACCCATCCTAGCAAAAGATTAGACAAATTGATGAGACAGAGAAGAGGATAGAAATGTGAAATGTAAACATATGTAAATCTTGACTACTATCAAAGGTGGCATTTCAGAGTAGCAAAGAAGACAGTCTTTTCAGTAAATGGTGCTGGGCTAGTTGAATACCCATATGGAAAAGGCGAAACATCTCTTACCCTCATGACGGTCATAAAAACCAGTTACAGGTTGGGTTTATGTGAAAGGCAACACAAAACTTCTAGAGGGTAACTTAAGTGAATATCTATCTATAGGACTTTGGAGAGGGAACATTTTCTTAAGTGGGACACAGATATTACTAGGAAAAGATCCATTTCAACATTGTCTTATTAATCAATGACTTCAGTTCCTCAAAAGATATCACTAATGAGTAGGAAAAGACAGACATTTGCAAAACAGATAAATGACAAAGGCTTTGTGTTAAGAATATGTATAAAATTCCTACAAAATAATAAGAACAACTCAGTAGAAAAATGGTAGACTTGAATAAGCACTTGACAAAAGGCATTTAAACATCCAAGAAATATATGAAAAGATACAGCACATAAGTCATCAGAGAACTGCACATTAAAATCACAAGGTGATTCCTCTGTAAGGCTACAGTTAAAAACAACAATAATACAGTATTAAGGGAGGGGTACGGTGTGCCTGACCCAAGCCATGGTATTTTCAATAACCTCATATGGATGTGAAAGCTGGACAGTGAATAAGGAAGGTAGTAGAAGTGATGCCTTTGAATTGTGGTGTTGGAGGAGAATAGTAAAAGTGCCATGGACTGCCAAAAGAACCAATAGATCTGTTTTGGAAAAAGTGCAGCCAGAGTGCTCCTTGGAGGCCAAGATGGCTAAACTTTGTCTCTCATACTTTGGACATGTTGTCAGGAGGGAACAGTCGCTGGAGAAGGATGTAATGCTGGGTAAGATGGAGGGTCAGAGACAAAGAGGAAGACCCCCAACGAGATGGATCAGCCAGGTGGCATCATTGATGGCATTAAGTGTGGCAACAGTAGTGAGGTTGGCCCAGGATCGGACATTGTTTCGTCTGCTGTGCATGGGGTCGCTATGAGTTGGTTCTGACTCGATGGCACCTGACAACAACAACAAGGATGTTGAGCACTGGGATCATTCATGTGCTGGTAGGAATGTAAACTGGTAAAGACCACTTGTAAAACTGTCATTATCTACTAAACTTGAACATACATGTCCTTTGACCTAGCAGTTCCACTCCTAAGTAAAAACCAATAGAAACATACCTATAAAACTTAGGAAAACTTCTTAGACATAATCTAACACCTTGAGGGAATGAATTACTGGCCCTAGGGACTTAGGACCATAGCCTCAGGGAACACCAAGATCATGTGGCATAACACAGTCTACAAAGGAATGTTCTACATCCTTCTTTCATGATTAGCGATAGATTTTAAAAACTCATGGGCTACCATCTAAGATACAACTATCAGTCTCCTCGTCTAAAGCAAAGAAGAGTAAAGACACTCAAAGACACTTTGAACCATTAATCCAGTGGACTAATGGATCACATGAACATCAACCTCCATGACCTTGAGACCAAAAGTACCAGATGGTGCCTGGCTACCATTACCAACTGCTCTGAAAGGAATCACATGAGAAAGTCCTGGGTAAATGGGAGAAACTGCGAAACAGAAATCAAAATCATAAGAATGACCAGACTTACTGGTCAGATAGAGACTGGTGGAACCCTGAGACATGGCCCTTAATCCCCTTTCAGGTCTCGCAATGAACTTCCCCCATGGCTCAGTTTTCAGTCAAACCACAGACTGAGCAGTAACACTCGGGAGGTACGTATACCTTACAATAATCCACCGTTTGAGATCAAAAGGACAGCATTTACCCAGGGACCAAGTTCAGAAGGGCTGGGAAAGAAGGATGAATGGAAACGGGAAACACAGGAAGTCAATATGATGCTACATCATGGAGATTGCCCTTAATAAAATGAAAAAGTATATACGTATGGAATGTTCCATGGAAAACTGATTTGCTCTGTAGACCTTCATGCAATTCATAATTACAAGTATTTTAAAAGGAGCAAAACGCACATGTGTATGTACAAAAAGACTATGGAAATAGCCCAGATATCTGTCAATATAGAGTAGATAAAATGCAAAGCCATTTGAACTGCAAGGTTGATGGTTCAAGCTCACCAGCTGCTCCTTGGACACCCTATATAGGGTCGCTATGGGTAGGAACCGACTCAACGGCACTTCACAACAACAAAATGGTATAGTCACACAATGACACACTCTGTAGCAATGAGAAGAAACAAACTACAGCTAGCTACAACAAGGATGAATATCGCAAATATAATTTTAGGCAGAAAATGGTAGAACAGAAGACAGACTAAACTACACTATAGTTAGAGCTCAGCATAATAATTATCTTCAGGGAAGAGAAAAGGAATATACCAGGGTGAGTACAAAATTATCTGCACTCTGGCTGTAGAATTTATTTAATCAACTTTTAGAAAAGACAAATTTCATCTTTTTTTTTTTT